CAAGTGCACATCTCGATAGTGCGGGTACCACGAAATCTTGACCGGTAGGCAAACTATCTGTGAGGGTGCTCTCTTGAGGATTTCGTTGGATTTTGTTAATTCTTTCTGAAAATTTGGCAATCTTCTTCAAAATTGTAGTTGAAAATTCAAAAAAGTTCTGAATAAATGGCAATCTCTTTGAAGATTTTTGATTAGAAATTCAGAAAATTTGACAAAATTCATTGGATTTCTCAGCATTTTTGGTATTTCCTGGAGAATTTAGAGAATCTTTTCATTTTGGAGATGTCTTAGATGAATTGACCGATAGACGGATAGTTAGGCAAATTTCAAGTAGGATGTCTCTGGATGATTTTGAAGAAATACGAAGTTCTAGCTGTTAGTGTATGTGCAATGAAATTTCTGAAAAAATTCTGATGTGTATCTAAATTCGTCAAGATGACTACATACACTGTAAGTTCACGATTTCAGAAGGCGTTCGCACTCAATGAGGGTGTATGCCACAAGTGCACATCTTGAGGGTGATTCAAGCAATTACGACCGGTTTTGACCTTGCTTAAGGGTCTCATCAGGTAGTTATGACTTAAGATTGTATAGTTTAGAATATCTATTCAAATCATCGAAAGAAGATCATAAATAAGATATCTCTAATTAAAATACAATCCAATCTATAATGTTAACTTCAGAGGTGAGGGTAAGAGTAAAGCAATCCATGATCTAGATTTCGATCCTAGCTTAAGGGATCGTCATCAGATGGATTTAACTCTGAGGTATTTGTTCGAAATGATCTCAATTGACATGAAGAAGTCAAAAGAAATCATAAACAAAATACTACTATCTATACTGTCGATGAAAATAAGGTAGGAGAAACCTCATTTGTCAAGGCGATAGATATTCTTTAGTAAGAGGAGTGAGTAAAGCAATCCATGATCTAGATTTTGATCCTTGCTTAAGGGATCATCATCAGATAGTTTTAACTCTGTGTAATTATCCAAATGATCTATAAAAAGAGATCACAGATAAATTACATAATCTACACAAAAGACGGTAGATTCAAAAGAGAATAAATAATACGAATTGGTAGATATCCATAAGAATGGAGTGAGTTAAGCAGACTACGATCTAGATTTCGACCTTGCTTAATGGTCTCATCAAGTGGCTATAACTCTGTGCATATATTCGGCTGATTTACGTGTGAAATCAACTGCGCTACCAATGTAAAAGACTTTACTTTTGTCTGTGCAACGTAGGATAATATCTGGACGTTGACGTAGGAGATGCTGGATACTTTGAACAGTTTTATATTCGTATCGAGCACGACTACTTAATTTATTTGATGATTTGTTCGATTGAAATTCATTGAAGAGGAGACGTTTCAATGCAGAAAAGGCCTACTTGGCTCGTTCATCTGAAACTAACATTCGATTATCTTTTAGACAATCTTTGCTTGTATTGGATACAGTTTGATACTGTTGCATTAGAATTTTCTTGACTGGTTTACGATGAAATCGACTCTGGCATGGTATAATGTATTTGAGACTGTTATTGAGCATAGATATTTGTTGTGGTGTTAACTTAAGATCGACTTCAATGAATGGTAAAGAAGCAGTAAAGGTTTGATAAATAAAGGTTATGCTGCTCCGATGACAACATGATGGTGGTTGTTGTTTTATTCTAATTTGTGGTACTATAAAATGAAGCTGTCTATGGGATTTTGGACTGTCATGTATTCACGTGAATTAAACTGAAAATATAAACAATTAGTATTGTGTGTGAAACTATGTCGAAGAAAAGTGGTAAATTGTATAGATGAGTTTTTGGAATGTTTTGAAATGTGTGCGTGTCTTTCAGATACAAATTACTGATGTGTAACTAAGATTATTCCGTAGGATATCTACCAATCTTACGATTGTGATGGATATTTGATGATATATGTTTGTCTTTCGTTGTAGATTGTTAATATATTCTCTTTACAATCATTCAAGTATAGCATGAACAACAATTTTAAAGTGAATGTTGAAGGTTTCAAAAGAGGGTTAGCGTGAAACTAACTGGCAAAGGTGGAAAACATCTTAGCAGTAGATGCACATCATTATTTTTACTCACATGTATTCTATAGATCTCCATCATTCATCCTTCTTATATCACCCATCAAAATGGTATGAGCTTACACAAAAAGGAAAAAAAGAAACAGTTGTTGAAATAGAACAAATTACACGTCAATATGTCACAGGAATCATTAGATATTAGTACAAACATGTTTCTTTTTCGGATGACATTTTGTACATCATCTAGTACCTTTAGCTTTGCATAGAAAAGATTTTCTATTACATTTACCATTACAACTGTATACTTCCTTCTCCTACTGGATTTAGTCTTATTGCAGCAACATACTCTTCACATGCTTGTGTAAATGCAATTGTTGGCAAAGCTACTGGATCAGCAGTAAGTAAATTGGGAAAATCATATTTTCTTAAATCGAAAAGATCTTGAACGCCGTATAATGATGATAGTACACCTGTCAATGTACACAGCTTGTACATCATGAAATGATTCGATGATGATTGAATAGATACAACTTTACAAGGTAAGATTGAAGGTATGTTATTGATTCGATTGATTGGGTGGTCGATTTGAAGACCAACAAGATCTCCCAACTGATATTGTTGTTGTTGTTGTTGTGTCACGACATTATCGTATAATTTTTGACGTTTAGGCACTGATTTCAAATGATCAGTTTCTGTTTCATGACGAATGTTTTTATGTCGATGATTAGAGATATCAGCAGCAGTTGAATTTCGAAGAGATATATCATTGTTCACAATAGAAACATCTATAGAATGAAAGAAAAATAATTAAGTTAAGTGACTATTTGACTTAATATTGTATGCTTCTCTATAACAAACCTTGAGCAATAGTATTATCGTTTAAGCCTACCCAGGTCGTTCATGCCCGGCCGTAAACGGTCGTACACCAATCATTTACGACGAAAAACGACAG